TGGTGTAGATTTAGATGTAGTTTTATCACTGAATCTCTCTCGTCTTTGCCTCTTCTTCAACCAGTAATGTCCTCTTTAACGCAAGCCTTACTATGCCTATCGACAATAGAATATGTACGGTAAAGTTCCAAGGTGATATCTCCAGTGTCAAGAAAGCACTGTCGCACAAGAGAATGTATCCTCCCTCAAGGAAGGGCCTTTGAAGCAGGAATGTGATGAAAGTAATAGTGTAGTGCGAGTCAGAGGCTTTGGGAATCAACTCAGAATTTTGTAACATTCACTTGCCAAATTAACTTGAGGCATTCTGGTAACATATCAACTGGTACCGAATATATCATGGGGAGGTGATATTACTGGTGACGCGTTTAGCAGAATTGGCTTCGCGTTGCGGCGCGCGAGTTGGGCAAGTTTAGCGCGGCGTTTTGGGGAAATGTCGCCCTCAATCATGGATTTTGGCCTGACTTGAATCTCTGATCTTTTTGACTCGGCGAGGGTAGGACCACGACGTCCGTTTCCAACATTTCGCCCTTAACCCCTTCACTCTCTCTTCATCATATCTCTCGACCGCGGCGTCATTCTTGTCTGCCTGATTTCTGGGTCTTGTCCTCTTCCTAAAGAATCGCGCGCCCATTACATCACATCGTGATTGAGAATCCCTTTCACAATACGACCATCGCCTCCGTTGAGGCAGGCAGCACAAGATGAGCGACATTCTCATCAACTCCGACACTTTCTTCGAGCGCCTCCAAACCCTTTACAACGCCTGGAAAGCAGACAAGAGATCGGGAAATGAAGTTTTTGGCGGCGCGGACAGCATCATCGTCTTGACAGGGAAGGCTGCCGAGGACACTATTTATGCTAAGAACAACGCAGTTCATGTGAGCAGTCCCTTCATACCCAGCTATGCCGTTGCCCTACCCCGCTGGGTTGCTATGAAGTCGAGTGGGAGACTAACGGATTTGTGATATGCTACAGTTCTGGCTCCTGGGTTATGAGTTTCCCGCGACGCTGCTGATCTTGACCACGACCACTTTTTATGTTGTTACGACGGAGAAAAAGGGTAAGTTTTGCAACCAAGGAGACAGTGTACTTCCAAGATTCTAACTCGCTCTTCTCAGCTAAGCACCTTCAATCCCTCAAGAATGGGAAGATACCCGTCGAGATCCTGACGGTCCACATGAAACAACCCGAGACCCGAACCCAAGCGTTTGAGAAATGCATCGAAATCATCAAGAATGCCGGAAAGAAGGTCGGGACTATCCCAAAGGCCGAAGCGCATGGGCCTTTCGTCGATGAATGGGTCAAAATGTATGGCGATCTATCCAAAGAAGTCGAGGAGGTGGACATCTCTGGCGCCTTCTCGATGGCGTTTGCTGTCAAGGACGAGAACGAGCTGAGGAATATGAGGACCGCGGCTCGGGCAGCCAGTGGCATGATCTCAGACTACTGGGTTGATGCGATGTCCGCTGTGCTTGATGAAGAGAAGGAGATTACCCATCAACAGCTTTGTGACAACATGTCGAAGAAGATCGACGACAACAAGTTCTTCAACAAAATCTCCAAGCTGCCCAGCGATTTTGACAACCAGCAGCTCGACTGGGCGTACGGCCCTATCGTTCAGAGTGGCGGGCAGTATGATCTTCGACTGAACGCGCAGCCGACCAACGACAACCTTCACTCCGGTTGCATCATTGCCGGGGTGGGTTTCCGGTACAAGACCTACTGTTCGTTGCTCGCGCGTACTTACTTGATCGACCCGAGCAAGTCGCAGACGTCCAACTACAAGCTTTTGCTTGCTGCACACGATGCAGCACTGAAAGAAATCAAAGAGGGGGCACTGCCCAAAGATGTCTACAACAAGGCCCTAGGCGTCGTCAAGGCTCGCAAACCTGAACTCGAGAAGAGCTTTGGGAAAGACGTTGGATCGGCCATCGGTATTGAGGTCAGGGATCCGAAATTTGTCCTGAACGGCAAAAACACCAGACCACTCAAGGACGGCATGACGTTCAGCGTCACCACCAGCCTGTCGGATCTCACTAATGACAAACCTCAAGACAAGAAGGGCACTAACTACACTCTTGTGCTGACGGATACGGTCCGCGTAACCAGAGGAGAGCCAGTTGTTTTCACCAAGGAGGCACACACCGAACTAGATTCAATCGAGTTCTATTTTAAGGATGACGAGGAAGAGACCAAGCCAAAGCAGGAGAAGGCGAAGAAGCCCGGTGTGAGTGCCATTGTTACATCAAATATCAAGGCCACCCGTCTGCGAGGCGCCAATCGGCAGGACAATGCCAAAGAAGAGGAAGAGGCTCGACGAAGAGAGCATCAGAAGGAATTGGCGGCCAAGAAACAGCGCGAAGGTCTAGAAAAATATGCCGAAGCAACGGGCGACATGAACGGTGAGAACGAAAAGAAGTTCAAGAAGTTCGAGTCGTACAAGCGCGAAGGTCAACTTCCACCACGAGCAAAGGACTTGATCGTCTGCGTGGACCTCAAGGCTTCGACTGTCATTATTCCTATTATGGGACGACCAGTGCCGTTCCATATCAACTCGATCAAGAACGTCAGCAAATCCGACGAAGGCGAGTACACGCATCTGCGGTTCAATTTCTTGTCTCCTGGACAAGGTGTTGGGCGTAAAGACGACCAACCTTTCGAGGACCCTCAAGCCCACTTTGTCAGATCTTTAACTATACGGTCCAAGGATCAAGACCGCCTCTCAGAAATTTCTGCTCAAATCACAGAACTGCGGAGGTCGGCTGTTCGTCGAGAGCAAGAAAAGAAGGAAATGGAGGATGTTGTGGAGCAGGACAAGTTGATTGAAATCCGCAATCGTCGGCCAATCAAGCTGACAGATGTCTACCTTCGACCTGCGCAAGATGGCAAGCGAGTTCCTGGTGAGGTCGAAATCCACCAGAACGGTTTGCGGTACCAATCCCCCCTGCGTCAAGAACACGTCGACGTGGTCTTCTCCAATGTCAAGCACTTGTTCTTCCAACCTTGTGTGGGTGAACTGATTGTGCTTATCCACGTGCATCTCAAAAACCCGATCATCATCGGCAAGCGCAAGACGAGAGATGTCCAGTTTTACCGCGAAGCCACTGATATGGCATTTGACGAGACGGGCAACCGGAAGCGCAAGCATCGGTACGGGGATGAGGAGGAGTTCGAACAAGAGCAAGAAGAACGAAGGCGCCGAGCCGAGCTCGATCGCCTGTTCAAGAGTTTCGCGGAAAAGATCTCGGACCAAGCTAGAGACTATAATGTGACGGTCGACATTCCATTCCGGGAGCTCAGTTTCAACGGTGTTCCGAATCGCAGCAACGTGTTGATGGCACCAACAACTGATGCATTGGTTCAATTGACGGAGCCACCGTTTACTGTGATTACGCTGGATGAGATCGAGGTTGCTCATCTGGAGAGAATACAGGTAAGTTCGATCCGTGTTCTGAAGATTTTGGCCTGTGCTAATTCATCGGGCAGTTCGGACTCAAAAACTTCGATCTTGTCTTTGTCTACAAGGACTTTCATCGCCCTCCGACGCATATCAACACGATTCCAGTCGAGTCGCTGGATAGAGTCAAGGAATGGTTGGACAGCGTGGATATTGCATATACCGAGGGGCCACTCAACCTGAACTGGAGCACGATCATGAAGACGGTGACCACTGACCCACACGCTTTCTTCAAGGACGGTGGCTGGAGCTTCTTGGCTACGGAGTCTGACGCCGAAGACGAGGATGAGTCCGAGGAAGAAAGCGCCTTTGAGATGAGCGATTCGGAATTGGCGGCCAGTGAGTCGGAAAGTGAAGAGGATAGCGAGTTTGATGACGACGCGAGCGCAAGTGATGATGAAGGAGAGGCGGAGAGTGGGTTGTCTGACGAAGGAGAGGACTGGGACGAGATGGAGAAGAAGGCCAAGAAGGAGGATAGGAGAGGCGGGGTGGAAGACGAGGACAAGGGAGCGCGAAAGCGCAAGAGATGAGTTTGGTCATGAAGCTGGACTTGTGAGGAATGCAATTGCGATACTGAAGGCCTTTGGTGGAAGAAGATGATTAAAAGTGAAGCAATATCAACGCGAGAAGTTGGGAAGGCTGGAGAAGTTCCCCTTGCCGTTGCTGCTGTATTGATGTATTGATACTGGGCGCTGGACATCTATCTGAATAGTCGTCATGGATGCACGAACACCAGGTGCTTGGGCGGTACGCCGTATGTTCTGCACGCTCTGATCTGTACTCAGTGTCGACATACACACTTACCTAGGCACGTAGACCACGAGTATATCGCCGTATCGTATCGCATGAGATCACGATCTACTTGTAAGAAGTGCCTGGATAACGAGCGTGCGAGGTTCGTAGATGGTTCCGCTTCTTCGTCTAAACTCGGCAATTGAAAAGCGGAGATGATTATTATTTCCCCGATTCATGTCCATCTCCAACGGGTCAACCACACCACAACTCCGACAACTACTATTATCTTTCTATCCAGCCATCTCAATAGCTGGGTTGAATCGTGAGACAATAGAAGAAATAAAAAAAACCCAGGAAGCTAATCATTCAGACACTTCCTGGAGCAGCCGCCGGATATATCCTCGTCGAAACAGCATCGCTAGAGGTTTTGGCTGTTAAAGAGCTTCGAGCTTGTTCAGAAGAGACACGACCGACAACCAATCACGGCAGATCGGGTACAACCGACAATCAATACGGAGGGAGGAAAAGAGTACAAATTTTGTGGAAAACACGACCAGAGCATTTTGATCGAGCATTGGACAACGACCGAGCAATAGCGACCCTCTATCGCTTTCTCCGTCACATCGCCTTACCTCTTCGTCTTTCGAGTGAGTGAGTGGGAGATTAGATAAATAGATAGACAAGAGTCACACGACCAACCAGGGTATTCCGCAACCCCAAGTCCCCTCGCGCAAGAGAATCAACAACTGAAAAGAAAAGGTTACGAGAAAGAAAAGCGACAGAGAAAGAAAAAAAAAAAAGAAAAAACATGGGCCCCTCCCTCCTCTCCAAGTCCCTCCAAGCGGCCGGCATCAGCACCTTCGCCGGCGTGTGCGCCTTCGCCGTGTGGACCAAGCACTGCCGCTTCACGCCGCCGACGCAGTTCAACCCGGCGACGGAGCCGCTGTTCCAGAGCGCCTGGTTCCGCAAGTTCAACCCGCAGAACCACGAGGCCACGTACGACGAGTGTGTGCGGCGCATCGGGCTGCAGAAGATTAAGCCCGAGTTGGTCGAGGACGCGCGCAGGGGCGGGACGAAGCTCGTCGAGGAGTTTTGTCGGGGCGTTTGGGGCGGGCCGGGTATGTTTTTCCCCCGTTTGTTTCTTTCTTTCCTATCTTTCTTTAGTGGTCAAGTGTGCGGGTTGACCTGACTGGACTTCATTCGATTCGATTCGATTCGGTTTGAGAAATGGGTGTTGGGTTCTCTGTGTTGATGTGCCCTCTTGCATTTTTCGGACTCACTCTTCTCCGCAAGGGGGTTGGTTGGGTGATGGAACGATGCCATGGGAACTGAACACAAACCCACCATCTGCCTCACTTGTCTATTTATATTTGACTCGACGACTAACCCAATACCTTGAAAGGCTACACGATCCAACGCCTGTACTTACAGCGCAAATACCGCAACGCCACGACGACGGCGCACCAGCTGTGGACGCCCGCGCAGCTCCTCACCTCGACCTACGACCCGGGCACCGAAATCACCGACCACTTCGTCGTGCTGGACAAGACGCCCACGCGCATCCTCATCCGGTGCGGCGACTCGCCGCTGCACAACCCGGACGGGCCGCGGCCCTCGGATGGCCTGTTTGAGATGTGCGCCACCGTCGACGTCGACCAGGGCATCGCCGAGTTTCGCCTCAAGAGCATCTTCTACGTCGGGGAGGGGAGTTGGGCGTCCGCGTCGGAGACCAAGGCCGAAACGAAAGACGGCCAAGGAACCCCGGATAAGTGGGAGAATCGGGGCCCCATGCAGGGTTACATGCTCTACGCGCACAAGTTGTACACCAAGCTATGGATGGAGAGTGCCCTGAGAAGAGTCAAGCAGTGAATAGGCGCGCGGAAACGAAGTCATTTCCTCAAAGTCACTTTGTAGTATCTCTCATTGAGTCGAAAGGAATAGGGCTATCGTGATGAATCAAAACTCCGACTGCTCTACTGTCTGTGTTCTCTCAGGTTTCCACCTATCACTTGATGTGGCATTCTCCAAGCCATAGTTGGGTGACTTTAGCTCTCCTTCACTGTCCAGCTCCCTTTCCTTGCTCACAATGGCATTTTGGCCACTTGTCATGTCCCGGATGCACACTCCCAACGGCTTTTTGAGTTGAATTCGGCGTCATGAAGGATGACAACGATTACCGTCCGGCTTTCATCCAATGATGCCGGCGTAGCTCTGTGTTTGATATCCTGCCAACTGATGCTCTGTGTGTGGCTAACCTGGTGTTGGTTGTCGACAGTCCCTACAGGCTCAACCAGTGTGACGGACATAATAGTAATAGCCACTAGTCACATGCTTCTCCCAATGGCCCACCGGAAAATCACCCTTCAACGCGTCGTTGTATTCCCTCAAGGTCCAGCTTCCATCAAGTTCCTTGCACCAGAATTGTGGGCTTGCACCAGGTTTGTACGGTGCCAGTTGGGTGGGTTGCTGCTGACTAGCTTGCAAATTGGCAAGCAAAATGGCGTTCTGTGCTTGAATCTCTGCTGTGGTGGCGCCGACGAAGTAAGCTGGTGCGTTTGGCATTGCAGCAAGGGCAGCATTGGCAGCTACTGCAGCCGCAGCCTGTGCCGGACCCGGAGGCTGAGACCATGGCGAAGTGACGGGGAATTGAATCGGATTCGGGGCTGTATGGTATGGTGAGTAGGTGTACGGATAGAACGGGGTGCTTGGTGTAGAAGTGGCAGGCAAGGTGTAGCAAGTGTAGGCAGAGGAGGTGTAAGGCCAACCAGTTGTTGCAGACGGAGGGCTCATGCCGTAGTAGAGGCCATTCACGTAGTAACCCGCCGGAGCACTCGAGCTCCCCTAGGAAGAGGTGTCAGTGAGGTCAGGCTGATTTCAGGCAGAAAGACTGGTGGCTTACTTGGAAATAATACATCGCTGGCTGAGCTGGTTGATTGGACTGATACACGGGCGCCGGTGGATGAATCCCCTGTAAAGCTTCTTGGTTAGAGACGTAGAGATAGGTTCTGGGCCAATCTGCTGGGTTCTCCCAGTAGCCAGTCGACCCTTGTGTGTTGACAGCGGAGGGGTTGGGGGTTTGGTAGGTGTAGAAATGGGGCATGGTTTGTCTGCGACGTCTGGTGCGAGCATGAAGCGAAGAGGAAGACAAGCAGATGAGAAGAACGTCAGTTGCCGATTGTCTGATAAATGAGTTCAGGAAAGATGCGCGAACGATGAAAGAGAAATTCCGACGTCGCAGATTGAGCAGAAACTTTCACTTTGAATTCACTTTGTAACGCACCTGCCGGTTATCGGGATAGAAACCATGGTTCTCGTCGAGGAAAATGTACTCTTGCTTGACGGGTTCAGCGGCAAGCTGGACATTGTGAGCCCATGGCCAGCCTCCACATGAAAAACACATGATGACAAAGGAGATGATGGAAGGGTGGTGATGAATGCAAGGAGCTGGAACGATATGGAAGGATGCGAAGACTGCGTTGACTGCCTGTGTCTAGCAATCTGGGGTTGGGAAGGATGAAGGGGGAGGAGGTGGTGATGAAGAACTGGCAGGCGGATCTGACAATGAGCAATGGGCAATAGGCAATAGGCAATGCGCACAACCGTCGATTTGAAGATTGTGTGAAGCAGCAGATCAATATGTCTTCCTTCACTTCATCGAACAATTGTATTCTCTCGTCAATAGCTGCAGCTCGAGTTGTCTTGTCTGGCTGTAGTCGTTGACACAGAGACACTCCTACCCATTTGTGCCATTCTCATCCCATTGAGAGTCACCAGCTGAATATGTCTGCATCAGGACTCTTCACCCTTTCTCTTCTGGTGCACTCTCTGTTAAGTGACCACTGACATGGCGACAAGGTGATGGTGCGCAGCTCGTCCGCAGCCTGCATTTTTTCTCTCTTTCTCTGTAGCTCACCCTGAATGGATCCGCCTCTTCCATTGTCTTCTTCATCGACAAGCCACCACAAGTTGTCCACCATCAGCACATCGAAAAGCCATCCAAATTATATTGGAGGTTAACGAGACACCAAGAACAAAGTTCAATGTGCCAGACGCGACAAGACGCGCATCTGAACGGCTTGACACGCTAAGGACGCGCTCATCGAACCAATGAGTTGCATTTGGGTGATCAACGTCATTTAATCTTGTGTAGTACCACAGGACGAGAGCATCGGACGGTATTGGGAGGTTGGGGAGAGAATCGACTCTTCTGGTAACTCGACAGGTCCATTCTCTGAGATCTTGCCAGATAATACACAATTATATCTCTCTCGTGCCAAATCACATCTCCCAAGTCAATCAACCTATCACAGGTTGGCGGCAACGGCTGCCTGCGTTTCAGCAGCACAGGCAGCCTTGTCAGCCTTGCCAGCCTTACGACGAAACCTCATAAAATAAAGGTGTGGCACCTGGCTTGATCTCTGTCTGTTAATCCGTTGTAAACATCGTTTTCGGCGCAGAAGATCGAATGCCCAGAGATCGCCATGACTTCCAAGAGCGGTGACAAGAACTTGGTTCCCCCTACTTACACTATCGATCTCTCCCTTGAGCCAGAGGAGCGCTACCAAGCCTTAGCAAAGGCTTACCAGAGCCAACTTCGAAGCCTCACGACTTTATTCAACAGCCTGCTCACTGATATCGGCCTCTCTACATTCTACCATGGCCCGGTAGGGCTACTGGCTCGATTTCTCCTCCGAGGCCTGAATACTCCCGTCGAAACTGCCGAGCTCCGTGGGATAGCAAAGGTAAGCGGGCTCCCTATGCACCTGCTTGTCAGCTTCAATGTAATCTTGGACTGTCTCATGGGTTGTACCTCTGGAGCGGTCAAGGTCGTGGACGCGGATCGGCCCACAGGACACAGGCGGATGCTTCATTTCCGCACCCTAGACTGGTCAATGGATCCGCTCCGGTCGATCATCGTTCAACTGGAATTTGTTCGAAGTAGATCGGCGACACCTGGGCAGATCATCGCTCGAAGCGTTACATATGTCGGCTTTACGGGGATATTGACCGGCGTACGTCAAGACTTGAGTCTATCTCTCAATTTCCGTGGTGTACACAACGCTGTACGCAGACGCGACCATGCGAGATTCTACCTGCATCATCTGCTAGTTCTCACGGGTTGCCGGCAATCGATATCGAGCATACTGAGAGGATACATCATCTCAGAGGATGTAGAAGGTGACCAGTGCAAGACTTTGCAACAAATCTCGGAGGAGCTCGTCCCACGGCATACCACTGCGGCTTACCTGCTCTTTTGTGATGGCGTGTCGGCCATGGTCATTGAGAAGGATTATGACAGCGGTGTGGTCCGACAATCCAACGCCTTCATCGGCGTTACTAACAATGACGAAGAAGAGATTGGGGTATCAAACGAAGCCACTCCTTTTGCATCTCAAGTCCCGGCCAAGTCTTTTGGTGTGAGGGCTGGAATGGAAGAAATCATTGAAGAAAGCAAGGACAGACTTGACGCAATCTCCTCAAGATGGAGAGCATGTCTGCGAAAAGCAAAAAGAACATCCAAAAGAAAGGGCAAGAATTCTAGCCAAGCAGAACGAGAGGTGGCAATTACCACAGACGAGGTGATTCAATGGGTATCGGCATATCCAACAACCAACGAACAGACTCATTTCGCCACGATCATGGATCCCCTCAACGGACAGGTAGTCTGGACACGGATTTATCCCGAAGCGGCTGAGTGAGCACCTCGATGTTGACGCGTTCTCCCAAGCCATCGACCATAGAGCGCCGAGAACCTCTACTTCACCTTCGACTTCAAACTCGAAAGTACTCGTAGCAGGCAGCAAAATCAAAGACATCATCATGGGCGTTTGTGGGGGTGCTTGCGACAACAAGTCCGACGCAAGATGGATACTGCTGAAAGAGCATGCACCAATACCCTTTATAATGTAGATGTATTCTGAATCCCGCTCGGGGGCCTTCTTGGCTCCTCCACCCCTCTGAAGCGAGGCCGTGGTCGGACAAATGCAGAGTGAAAATATTAATCAAACTAAGGTTATGGGAAGATGGCGATCGACATGCGGATGGCGTTGCCTTCCGATGTTTGAAAGTGAAATGCATGACGCCTCGACTCGAGGGGGGAAAAGAAAATGAAGCTTTTTGCTAAATATGGAGATCCGGAGAAAAAGGGACAACAACACCAAGACCACAACAACCCCTTTTCCGGTTATCATCGTCGCTTGACGCCAGCCACTGTCGATACAGCTATCACTCGTCATTCAAGAAAGTCAAGAAGTCATCTTGCCGCGTTGTAGGACATGGACATGCCTTGGCCATGGCTGATGCTGATGCTGTCTCTCAGCGTCGTATCCACCTCTACAGCCTCCAATATTGACTGACCATCGGACATTTCGACTTCTTCGTCAACGTATTCAGTGGTCCACCCACACACATGATTGTTCCTTCCGGAATCACGGAATCACGGAGGTCTTGGTATGGATGTCGATCCATTGCAGCCTTTGAGATGAAAAGGAAGGCGTTGCCCTCCTGCCTAGTGAGCCGGGACCTCAACCACCGTTCTTTCATCTTTTACTTCTCCCTCCGTGGTACTTTCCCATCTTCCGTACCAGATCTGCTGGTTTTGCAATCAATTGGTCTGCAGAGTCACGGATACCACTCGTTTTCACTTCCAACCATCTTTCATTCCATCCCACCACCATAGACACTCGTTGATCCAAACCCCCCAATTATCCACAACAAGCCCAATATGTTCTTCTCATCCATAACTGTTGCCCTAGTGGCACTATCTTCACTCACCGTGGCCATGCCACCCGTCAGAGGCGGACCAGGACGAGGACCGGAATGGGGGGGACCAGGAAGGGGACGATATGGCATTCCTGGAAAACGCCCCA